TTCAAACTATATTACAAAGCTATAGTAATCAAAACAGTATGGTACTGGCATAAAAACAGACGTAGACCAATGGGACAGAATCAAGACACCAGAAATAAACCCATGTAAATACAGTCAACTAATATTTGACAAGCAAGCGAAGAATACTCAATGAGGAAAGATAGTCTCTTCAATAAATGGTTGGGAAAACTGGACCCCTATCTTACACCACTCAAAAGTTAACTTGAAATGGATTAAAGACTTAAATATAAGACCTGAAATCCTAAAACCCTAGAAGAAAACATAGGGAATATCTCCTTGACATGATTTTTTTGGATCTGACAACAAAAGCAAAAGCAACAACAACAAAAATAAATGAGGCTACATCAAACTAAAAGCTTCTTCACAGCAAAAGAAACAATCAACAAAATGAAAGGCAACCTACAGAATGGGAGAAAATATTTGCAAACCATGTATCTGTTAAGGGGTTAATATCCATAATATTTAAGGAACACATACAACTCCATAGCAAATAATAATAAGCCAACTAAAAAAGGAGAGGATCCAAACAGACATTTTTCTAAAGATAATATTCAAATAGCCAACAGGTACATGAAAAGGTGCTCAACATCTCTCATCCATCAGGGAAATGGAAGTCAAAACCACAATGAGATATCACCTCACACCTGTTAGAATGGCTATTATCAAAAAGACAAGAGATAACAAATGCTAGTGAGGACGTGGGGAAAGGGGAACCCTTGTGCACTGTTGGTGGGAATGTAAATTGGTAGTCACTATGGAAAACAGTATGGAGGCTCCTCAAAAAATTAAAAATAGAACTACCATATGATCCAGCAATTCTACTCCTGGGTATATATCCAAAGGAAATGAAATCATTATCTCAAAGAGATATCTGCACCCTCATGTTTATTGCAGCATTATTTACAATAGCCAAGACATGGAAAAAAAACTAAGTGTCCATTAACGGATGAATGGATAAAGAAAATGTAGTGTGGAGATAGATTAGATAGCTAGATCGATAGATAGACAGCTACAATAAAATATTAGCCATAAAAAGAAGGAAATCCTGCCATCTACAGCAACATAGAAAAACCTTGAGGGCATTATGCTAAACAAAATAAGTTGGACAGAGCAAGACAAAGCGATCTCACTTATATGTGGAATCTTAAAAAACCAAACTCATAGAAACAAGAGAGTAGACTGGTGGTTGCGAGGGGCAGGGGCCTGGGGGGAATGAGTGAAGGTGGTCAAAGGTTACAAACTTCCAGTTATAAGTTCTGGGGATGTAATGTACAGCATGGTGACTATAGTTAATAATACTGTATTATATATTAGAAACTCACTAAGAGAGTAAATCTTTAAAAAGTTCTCAATACACAAAAAATTTGTATCTGTGAGGTGATGGATGTGTTAACTAATCTTATTGTGGTAATCATTTTGCAATATACAGTCATGCACCGCATAATGACATTTTGGTCAATGACGAACCTCATATATGACAGTGGCTCCATAAGATTAGTACCATATAACCTAGGTAGTAGGCTCTACCATCTAGGTTTGTGTAAGTACACTCTATGATGTTCGCACAATGATGAAATTACCTAACAACGCATTTCTCAGAGTGTTTCCCTGGCATTAAGTGACATGGCTGTATAGATATATCAAATCATCACATTGTACACCTTAAACTAACAAAATGTTATAGGTCAATTGCATCTCAGAAAGCCTGGGAGGGCAGGGAAAGAAAGGTGTGAGGAGTGGACTAGAGGAGAAGAATGGAGAATGCAACTAACCACAGCCTGGTTTCAGAGGGCTTTTCAGATTCTTTTTAGCATACTACACATCCTGGGCTGGGTGCTATGACACACTCTTTCTATCTTTTAAGTGATAAGAAGATGAGAAAGATAAGCCAGAAGCAAATTCTGGCAATAACTTTTTAAAAGCCACTAACTTTGCCAATAGTAAGAAATAATAATTGGAAAGACAAAGGACACAGCAAATGATATGTTTATCCTGCCTTCTGAGAAGCTGAGGATCAAATGTAGGGACATTGATTCACATTTTGCAAATCCTGTGTTCACCATGACATGTAACTCTTAATCGTTGAGAGTATGACCAACCACACACAAAGAGTGATGATCTCCACTAACAAAGGAGAAGGGGGCATTGAAACAATCATTTGAATGAGACTTGCCGAAGACCTATTCTGTGCTGTGCCCCCATAGGTCTACAGACACCAACTGACATTTCCCTCTAAGGGAAATCAGATTAAAGAACATTAAGGCAGCTGTTTTTGCAGGTAAAAGAAACAAATATAAAGTGTGAGGAGTGTCTATCATTCATTTATCCAACATTGACTGAACACACACATGTACTAAGCATTATTAAGCTAAAGAAAGTAAAAAAATATTTATAATGAATAAGACAGCTTTTGCCTTATAGGAGCCAACAATCTAAAAAGGAAGGTTGATATGCAAACACTTGTACAAGATGTTATGGAAGAGCGGAGAGTATGCCAGGAGGGAGGGTAAGATGAATCTTACCCCTTTGCTTTGGATATTAAAATGCGATATGGAGCAAATGGGTTTATGGTGGGCTAGTTTCCCACAGTATGTTCCCCAGAATGCTAGTCTGGTCAATTTGGAGACAGGGGATGGTGTGGGTAGTTCCATGGTTAAAAATTACACGTTATAGTCCTCCTGTAGAGCTTCACTGCGAACATTAGCAAAACAGCAGCTTTAAGAAGTCCACTACTAAAAACAGAAGCACAAAACTATTCAATCTGCACCTCCCATTTTAATTAATCACGGAACCTTTTCTACACAATAGCACCTATAAACAATCTTAGGAACAAATTGTGGGAAAACGGGTTGTATGACCGTCAATGACACTCAGCAGCTACCAACACTGCAGGAGAGGACAAGCCCAAAGCCAGGAGAATCCCTTTGTGCTTGACCTTTTCTAGGTTGATTTTGTTAGTTGCATAACATTTCAATAGCTACTTAACAAAAGTAAGTAAATTGGGATCTGTAATACAAGATCAAGCAAGAAGAAAAACAAAAACCCACAGATAACTCCTGAATTCTTATTTTGATCACAAAGTTGGTCTTCTGAAATATTAACTCTCACCAGAGATAGAATTTAAGAAATGCAAATACTGGGACATGACAGGCCATGGATCTTGGCTTATGTCTGTGCAAACATGCAAATGCCAATTTTTGGATAACTCCTGTAGTCTGAGGGAGAAAAATTATTTAAATGAAACTCTTCAGTTGCAGTTTCAAGAAAGTGAAATAGCCAAGCCCGTCTAACCAAAGACTCATTCATACCAATCAGTCCCATTTCTCACACTGTGCCAAGGTGCTTGGACTCTTAATACAAGCACATTTACTCTATTTGAGCTGACAAAGGGTTTCAGGGTGGACTCCTCCTCATTTCATCTACATTTATATAAACTGTTAAGACCCATACTAGATAGCAATGAAGTCACAGATTAGTAGAACATTATCATGACCATCAAAGAACCATTCTTTAGCCCCAAAATTCTTTCTAATTTTGGCACTGCATTTCAGCTTGCTCAATCAGCTAGTGAGAGGACCTAATTATTAATTATAGAGAAATTTGTTTTCTTTTCTAAAATATCCTGCAGAAAATGACCAGCTGCTAAAATAAATAAGATTCTTCACTGGTTTTAGGACAAGTGACGCTAGGTAAATGTTTCCATTAATTTTTCCCTTCCTTTGGCTCTTCTCTGGTCCACTTCACTGACGCTGGAAAATAACTCTTCCTTACAGTGAATACAGCCAACTCACAATTTCCTGGGTATACTTATTTACAAGATGCATGAAATGCTAAATATTCTAGACTCTGGGTTGGTTTTATTCTCTCACAAATTCGTCATCTCCCTGTACGTGCAAGAAAAATGCAAAACAATTTAAATTTTAGTCTAAGATGAAACAAATTAGCTCCCTCAAAATACAACATGTACATCAAAATGTTTAAGACATGCCACAGACCCCTTCGCAGTAGCAAGCTAGAGTTGACTAGAATATACTTTCTAAAGCTGGTACTGTTTGTCCGGAGGGGCCGGGTGGAAACGAGCACTGCACTGTCAGAAAGCCTCCATATTCCGAACTCTTAGCACATGTGCGGCCTCAGTGACTTATCAGCTCACTTTAAAATGAAAGGGTTAGACTGAATGATTTCCAAAGATTCTCTAGTTCTAAAGATACTTACTTTCACTCTTGAGTGTGCCATCAAGTACCATTTCATTGTGGAAATTTGTTTAAAAATGATTAATGGTTAAATTACAAAGATCTGTCAACTCCTCTAACTTACCACTCATATTCCTCTTTGCTAAGCTTGTATTTTTGAAACGGTTAGCATGGAACAATCATAGTTCTAACCTCTCATTTTCTTTGCAGATTCTAGCCTATGGGACAAGTCAATTGCATAACTGATATACCTCAGTCTACAGAATGCAGTCAGGGAGTACTACAGACATTTTTAATACTGTTTTATGCCTTTTAAAGCCCAGAGTACAAACCTGTGACTTTGTCATTCAAAAGTAGCTCTTAAAACACAGTTCAAAGCAGCATTCAAGGGAAATCATCTCAGAAACTTGCTGAAAATGCAGGTTCCTGGGCTCCAGAATCTACATTTTAACACATACCTTGGTAATTCTTATGACCACTGAAGTTTTAGAAATACTGACTGAAGGAAAAATTTAAATATTAACTGGAAATTATCTTTGAAAGTTAACTACTAAAAACTGGGCACAGCTATGAACATTAATTAGATAACTTACCAAATTTAAGGTTTTGAACATTGCATAAAATATTGAACTTTAAGAATTTTCCAAATAAATCTCTCCCCAGCTACACAGTAAGCAGCATGAGAGACTCAAACTAAGTACATTCTTTAAAAATGTACTCAAATCCTTAAACTAAATGCATCAAAAATGCAAATAAGCAATTCATATTTTTATTTCCTGGGGTTAGGGCAAGATGGTTTTTATGTTTCTGAAGCAATCCACAAAGCCAAGGTTGAGGTTTCAGAGGAAGGCACCAAGACATCTGCAGCCACAGGTATGTTCACAAGGGGAAGTCAGCGACACTCAGTCAAATCTACCTTTGTTAGATTTATCAACATTCATACTTCTAAACCTTCCCACTAACAACCCCCAAGTCTAGATGTGCTATTCATCATTTTTAACAAATAAATTTTAACAGAGAGCAGTTTTTCAAAAATGATGGGAGAAAAAAGGTATCCATTTTGAAAAGGATTTGTACCATCATCCCCATAAACAACGAAGAGAGTCATTCTGAAAATTAGCTTCAGTAAGGAATTTATTTCACGGAATATTTTGAAAATAGGACACAGGATTGGCTAAGTGGTAGCTTTTCTCTTTAATTTTCCCATTTGCACCCCATAATAACACTAAACAATGAATATCATTAGGATGCTTTTATTTCTTCAAAAATCAAGGGATGTAATGGACTTTGTATCCGATTTTAATAGTGACTTTCAGCAAATGAATAGAAAATGCAACGGGATTCTTCTTTATCTTTCCTGCAGCTCTGTTGTTACTGAAAAGGTCTCGGATTCCTATTTTTAAAGCAGATCGGCCATTCATCTTTTTCCTGAGAGAACCCAACACAGGTATTACAGTATTTTTTGATAGAATTCATATAAATTAAATATTTATCACTGTCTCTCTAGCAACAAGGCTCATTTGTCCACTGTAGCCTAAAAGCATTCCTTCTAGCTGGTTTCTATGGTGCTTCAGAAGCTTCCCAGTTGCTGTGTCAAGAGTCCTGAAAAGGAGGAATATTTCATAACTACAAAGGAAACTAACATCCTCTGCGGGGTTTTTTGCCCTCTCTTTCTCTCAGCTCATTTATAGTTGATGTAGATTTTTTTTTTTTTTTAATTCAGGTTTCTACTTCTGGGGAGACTTAGAAAAATCATGAAAGTAAACTAAATGATAAATCTTCACTTTTTTCCCCAGCTGTTGCTTAGCTTTCTCGCCACTGTAGGACAGAAGATAGTTCCTTCAGGCCAATAGAGTATCCGAGTAGTCCTCTGACTCTCAGCAACCCTAGTATGCTAGTGAATGCACCTGGATTTCTATAGCTTTTCTGTTGACCTTTCTCAAGCTTTTCTCAAGCTGAAATTACACAAAAATAAAATGTTTGCCCTAGTCTTTTAAGTCCCACTATAGTTCAACCTCAATCTTAATCCAATGATGGCATTGCACAGGCAAAGCCTTGGCACATCGGTGGGACAAGAAGTCCTTTAAGCATCAACATTGAATAACGTATTCAAATTATCTCTCTCAATGTTCCCCGGCCCTGGCTCTCTGACAATTATTTATCAGCCTAGGAAGGAAAAGAGATTCTCAGTAAAGAGTTGTTGGCAAGTCTAAACAATGTGTTAAAAAAGAAATAGAATGGAACAAGACTAACAAAATCAAGCAAAAGTGGATCTACTTTAACTATAAACATCAGGCATTTTTTTTATTTATGGAGAGGAAAAAAGTCAAAAGTTAGAATAATGAAAATTACGCATAGGTTTTACACAAATTGTTAAGAAAATACTGTCAACATCATTTTATCTGAGAATCATTTGCATACTGCTGAAACTTGTGCTAGAAATCAAAGGAACACTTTTGTGACAAAAAGGATGAAGATAATCATTCACTAGGAAATAATTTTGGAATTATTTGGGAAGAAAAAGTTCATCAACAGACTATATCCTCCTAGTATTTTACCATGGTCATCCCAACCCCCTATCTATTAGATGAAAACGTCACTTATCATTCAGAACAGGCAACAAAGAATTCTCTCTCAGAAAGGATACATGTCAAAAAATGAAAGATGAAAAAAATGACAAGTTCTACTCCTTCAAGAAAAGAGACAGGATTAAACTTGAACAGAAAGGTCATTGCCAAAAGCTGATAGCCAATAAAGATCGATGACAGTTAAAAGAGAATGATTTCTCTTTGGGAATTCAACTGCAAAAAAATGACGTAAAATCTCTGAACTAGTAAAGGACACACCACTATTTCAATGATGAGTTTTCAGAACTGCCTTAGAAAACAGAAAGAAAATACAAGGCTAATCCAAAGCCAGTTCCATAATCCGCCGCACATCTAAATACAGTCCTTGTGAATTCCTTTACCTCTCTTTCTGGGAGGTACTCACCTCTATCACACAAAGGATGGGGCTACTCTTCTGGTGACAGGGATATTGAAGAGACAGAAGTGAGTCTCAGCCTTCAATCTACCAAACTGATAAATCTTATACAGGCATATACAGACTCAATCAAGTGACAAACAGGGCACATATAGGAAGAAGAAGGATCTTAACCTCAAGAATAAACTGTTAGAGAATATCATTTGTCCAGCCTAAAGTCATCCAGTGAACTAAAGGGCCTAAAGACACATGGTTCCCTCAGATATACCCCCGCCCCTTTGCTTACAAGAAGACTTCTACATAAAAACCTGCAAGAGATGGGATATTAAGCTTGAGTTTCGATGGGTTTCAAACTTAATAACTAGGTTTTTGGGTGAGGGTGTAGAGTACAGTGGCAGAGAGATTATGGACAAAAAGAGGAGACTGAACAAACCGCTTCTTCCCAACTTCCCCCCAGGGTTCATCCCCAAAAATGTATTAAAGGAGAAGGCTCAAAAGGATTATTACCTCACAAGCCAACTGTGGAATGGAAATAAGAATTTTCTGATAAAGCAAGCTGCTAAATATTGGAATAGACTGAATCCCTTTCCTAAATATTCTTATAAAGTATGAACTTTCATCTGAATGACTTGTAATCCCTTCTTTTAATCTCAGAATCTAAATATACATAATTTAAGACCAGACAGTATATTCTGGATTTTGTGTAGCTCTTACTGAATTTAGCAATGTGGCTGCAGGTAATTACCTTAACAATTCCATCTATTAAATGATATTCTGCTTTACTTAAAGGTATTTTGTAGAGGTAAAAAAAGGTTTAAAGAATTGCATATGAAAATACTATATAACATTACACTAAATGTTTCTTTTTCTTGACAGGGTTTGTCTTCAGCATTGGGAGAGTGTCAAATCCCCTAGACTAAATTAACAGATGTCAAGCATGTTCTCCACTTTCATGTATGCTTTTCTTCATAAAAAGTTACAATTTCATTTTGCTATACCCTTGAAATTTAAAAAATGTTCTGCTAAAGTGTAAAAAGATAAGGGTATGTGATTTTCAAATATTATGAACCTAAAAATACTTCAATTTTACTATAATTTAATAAATTTATTTTGCCCTCTCTTAATCTAAATTTATTTTAACTTTCTTTTCTCTTGGTTACCCCAAAAGCACTACAAGGCACAGCAGTGATCTATGAATGGTGATTGAGTCAGGTAATAGGGTCACATCCTCAGTAAGGACATACGAGGCCATTTTGGACTGAGGGTGGACCATGAATAATGTGGGGTTTTCCTTTTCCTGGGTAACTCAGGGAGAATGCAAAATGAGCAAAGCCATCTTAAATGTGTTTCCTTTCCATTTCACTTCTAAATAAAATGGAGAGTTTAAGTGTGATACTAGCAGAGCAGAACAAAGAGATCCCCTTTGAACCCCCAATTTGTTGTGGGCCTTTTGTAAGCATGGCAAAAGCTGCTAAAGGCTAGACATTTCAGAGTTATGTGGCGTACCCCAAACTTACCACCCTCTAACTAACAGCTTCAACTCACTGCCATCTACAATCCTAGTGAGAAAGGAAAAGGCGGTGAAGGGAAGTAAGGAAACCAATAATGTCCAAAAATGTCTGTTTTTTAAACAGCTTCTAAAGCGTCTGCCTATCTGCCACAGATATCGTCGTTTGCATTATCTAGGCAGAAATGGGAGTATGTTGGTGTGGCCAACAAAAACTAAGAACATATAGTAAAAAGACAATGCAGCTCATGTAACACGTAATTACAGTTAGGTTTAACAAATAAGAACTTCAAGTGGTGTATTTTTCCAATGCTAAAAAGCAAGGCCTTTAAAATTCCATTATCTTAAGATGGTTTTAAATGATTACTTTAAATGTGATTATTTCCTAAACCACACAAGAGTAAAATAGAGCATTTATTGATGGAATAACAAAAGTGCTTTTCTTAAATATTCTTCAAAATACATTTGTACAACTTACAATAATATATCCAAAATAACTGTATATACAAAACATTACCTAGTTTTAATGTATGTGCTTTTTTCCCCAAAAATTACAAAGTAACTTCTTTTTTATTTTTTTGGCAAAGTTCAACCTTAACAGAGGTGACAATTTTAAAGGTTGGTTTAAGAAAATAGAACCTGAGGGAAATTGACACGCAAGAGTCAATAACAAGCAGGAGATTTGGAGGAATATTTTTAGTTTGTTAAATAAAAATGTTTTTTAGAGTGATATTTTTCACATTACAAAAATAAACCAAATGAAGAAAAGGTCACTGTAAAATGATGGAAAAAGGATCTGTAGACTTGCTCTTAGTATTTCAAATAGCCAACAATGCATGTCAAAAAATGAATGCAAGATCACAACAGTCTTGTATTTACTTTGTATTTGGAGAAGACAGTGAAATAAGTGGCCACATTCTGTTTTCTTTTAATTGCTATTAATATGGTTGATCTGATTGGCTCTTCGATGAATTTCATCCAAGAAGTTCTCCAGTTGTTCTATTAGCATTCGTTTTTTAAACCTGTATAAAGAAATAATAGCACTCTCAATTTCTTTTTAACGAACAGTTATATATCAGTATACTGTGTCTTTAGAAAGAGAAACTGCCTTGGGAAGTTTTTCAAAGTGAAATGAAAAATCAACTTTATGATATATAAAATCTGTTGGAAGATTAGCAAATTATTTTATCAGTACAGTATTACAGTTTGTTCCTAAAACAAACAATCCAGGCCAAGGCACAATGGGAAAGAGGTGATTCCTTCCACAACGAAAAGAAAAAGGAAAAGAAACCTAATATACACACAAGGGTCACAAATATTCCAGCAAAATTTGGCCTCCCAAAGCAATGACTCCAATAGCTTCTCCTTATGCTCCTTGGAAGTTGAATGTTGAAAGGAATGTGAACAAAGCATGAACATAATCCCCCACAAAACAGGAAGAAATGAAAGTTGGGCAGTAGCGTTTAAAAACCATGGTGTTCTACTATCACAATTCGAAAGCTAGCAAATCCAGGATAATTAGACATCTGTAATACATGATATAGCAAACAGTTTAAGTGGTAATCCTTGAAAAATTTTCAGTAATAAATATAGTAGACTAAAATTGCATTCGTCTACATACGTATTCATACTCTCCATGCTTTTTACAATATCCAAAAACACTGCCCAATCTATACCTTCTTCCTCTCTACCTGTAAACTTAAATGGCCAACACAGTATTACACAACTCTCTAAAAGGTGGCAGAAGCAGAGTGCAGGCACCAGGAATATAGCTAAATCCATAATGAAGTTTGAGCTGACAGAATGTTACATAAAAAGCAGAATAGGTTAAATACTCAAAATGAATAATATGAAAAGTTATGGCCTTATCCTGAATCTTCAAAGTGGCCTAGGCTCTAGCCACTTCAAAAACAAAAAAAATTAACTGCGCTATCTCAAAAAAACCTTTACATGTAGCATGGAAGAAACTGGGAGACTAATTAAAGGGTGGGAATATTAAACCCTAAGTTTTCCTAAACTTAAATACGAAAATTCTAAAGGTCTTGAAAGAAAAATAAAATAATGCTTTCTGTATTCACTAAACTCATACAACTATGCTTTCCAGTTCATCGCACTTCGTAGTTACCTTATAATCTTGATCCACATTCCTTGTACTAAAGTACATAATCCTGGGCTACTGAAGCAATCAGAATAAGGCCCATTTGTCCAACTCTGGTCCCCTTAATTACATGTTTTCCCACGTACAAATGAACTGCATTCAAATATTGCCTTTCCAGGTTATTTCTAATCACTGATTAATATTAACTGTAGTCCAAATATACAAAGGAGAAAAATTAAAGGCTATAAAATATAAAGACACCAAAAAGCCAGAGAGTAGGATCAATGAGAATTATGCAAGTATATAGTAATTTGTAAGAAGAAAGGTTCCATAATTTCTGAAGAATTTGGCTATTTTTTAAGTGAACTTCTTCCAATAAACTAAAAAAAAGAAGTACTTCTATGCACGTGTGTGTCATATACATGCATAACAACAGAAGTACAAAATAAATACTGTTAAAATACTGACTATATAACCTGGGGACTCAATTCATCATTTCATAATGTGCAACAGATTATTTACCTTGATGCTTCTTTAATGACATTTTGTAAAAATATTAGTCTTGTCTGTAAACTGCCTTGCACATGCTTCAGTAAAGTGAAGATTCTTTCATATTCTTAAAACAAGAGAAGCAAAAAGAAAAATTAAGTGGCTTTCCTTTGCACTCTTATTCAATATTTTTCTATTGTAGTTTACTATATCAAGATATACTAAGACAAGAACATTCTATATAAAATTTTCACCGCTCAGAGATTTTATAACACATATATTTCATCATACATTAACAAAGATAAAATAACTTTGTCAAACACTGTTTTCTGGTAAAAGTTCCCATTAAGGTATCAAACATAAAGCTTAGAAGGATGAATAAATAGCTTTTTGGTAGTGCCACTGAAAAATAAGAAGCAAGTGGCCTTCACAAATATCCACGCTTATAATTTAAGTTCTAACCTACAGCTAACAAGACTTCGGGGGGGGTGGCGCGGGGGGCGGTGGAGGAAAAAAATAAAACAGGTTAAGAGTGTTACCGCAGTTTCAAATTTTCACATAAAACTCTGCCAAGGACTATGAGCTCCTAAATGGCAGGACTGAGTCTTACCCACTTCTGGACCACCCATGGGTCACTGTACCATCACAGCAGGTGATCTGTCAACATCTTCTGAATGAATGCTAGTAATATTGAAATTTTATCCCACAAAGTTCTTTTGTATGCATACAACAGATAGCTTTCATAACTTTAGTTTTTGGCCTAAATACACCTCTGGTCACTATCATAGTTTAAATCTTAAACACAGTGGTAGACACTATGCTGAGAACTTTACAGACAAGAAGTCATCTAATATTCCCTACATCTTTTTGGGGTTTGCTGCTATGTTAAAATTCTAGTTGCTGGTTAGAATACTCAAGACTATGGATTCCTGTCATGATAGGAACTATGCATGATTTATCTGTGTTTTCTTCCCCTGCTCACCATACCTAAGCATAGTACTTTGGATATAGCAAATATTCAGGGTTTGTCAGCTGAATAAAGAATCAAATCTTGTATAGCTCATACGTTGTTCAAGACTGATCTAGAATCAGATCTACGCTTTTAGTTAATTTGACTTTTTTTGTTGCGCACACGCAGAAATCAAATCTGAGGTTTGTCTCTAATTATACATACTTCTTCCTGGCTTCCGGATTTCTTTCATTATTTGTGCTTTGAGTTCAGTGTTGACCTCTTCATGGCTTCTACAATGCATCAATTTCTTTCCTTTGTTGAGTGAAGATGCTGGCATATTCTCTTCAGGACATTGTTCTTTGTCTCTTGGCTCCTCATGATTTTCTAAAAATCCACCAACAGCTAGGTCATTAGTTCCTAAATGATCATGACCAAGAGCCTCTGTATGATTGGTTGGTCGTTCTAGTAAATTGGATGGAGAAGATGTTGAAAATTCAGTATCCATAGCATTTGGTGCAGTATCTGATGAAAGTTGGTCTGCAACATGATTTTCAACCACATCATCTATTGCCGAATCATTATTGGCTTCTGAAACTAAAAACAAAGATACGGAAAAAAAATAATGAGAGCTAATTTCAAAGCACATAGTAAAGAAAGCTACACAGAAACATCAGATAGCAAATCACAGCTGATCTCCTTGATAAGGCAAATTAACAATTGGCCCTGAGCTAACATGTGTGCCTATCTTCCTCCATTTCATATGTAGGACACCTGCCACAGCATGGCTTGATAAGCAGTGGGTAGGTCTGCACCTGGGATACGAACTGACAACCCCCGGGCCGCCAAAGCAGAGCACACAAACTTAACCACTGTGCCACCAGGCCAGACCCTATTCTATGGCAATTTTATTGAACGAGTAGGTTTTTAATGCTTTAGGGAAATATATATGATCAAGATTATCATGGTCATTTTTTCCTTAGCCCTAGCTCATTCTAACCTACCTCTTATACATCTTATTATATACATTTTAGACTTATACATCTATTATCATTTAGGCAAAGTAAGCATAAGGAGTTTAAACTGTTCAACATCCTGCTGAGAACATACCACCAAACAGGTCATCTCACACTACACCCTTTTCTTATAATCATCCATCTAGCCTTCATTACTTGAGCAATGCAGAACAACCTGTGCCCACTTCAGCTCATTAGACTACTGGACTTAAAAGCTTGCAAGCTTGCCATTTAGCATTAGATTACCACACTTGCTGCCCAGAGAAAGCAGAATTCTAAGTTCCCTGACTGCTCACCAAACCTCCAAGACACCAGCTGAATTCATCTCAACTTCTCTCATTTACTGTCCAGAATGTAAACTCATCCCCCCACAAAAATCCCTTGAACTTCTGACTCCCTCCTAAATCCTATTCCATGATTTGCAAACTTCACTGAATATTCTGTACAACTTCTGCTTTAACTGAAACCCAGCTCTCCCGCAAAGAAACCGCTCTCTTTTTCAGACCTGAAGTACAAATCGCTTTCTCTCAAACACTCTCCATGGACTTAAAATAAGAATGTGGAGTCAGTGATTCCTTCACTTCCCAGTGGCACTTCAAGATCATTTCTCCATGCACACTATTAAAAACTCTTGCTCTTTTGAGGCTTGACTATGCCACTCCTCTCATCCTTTCTCTCCTCATCACTATCTGTATTGATCTCCAGGGCACACCTCTGTGGTCACGGATGTCTCTGGCACCTGGTTCACAGACTTCCTCCCACCCCCATGTCCCTCACGACGTCATCGTAGGTCCTTACTCCTCAAAGTGTGGTCTGTGAACAAGGAGCATTAGCACCATCAGAGAGCTTGCTAAAAATGTCATCTTAAGCCCTATTGCAAACAATGAATTAGAATCTGTAGTTTAACTAGACCCTCAGGTGATCCATATACACATTAAAGTTTGAGAAGTGCTGCAGTATGTGACTTCAATATCTAAGCAGATCACCTGCCAAGAACATAGCCTCCCTGTTGCTCAATTTCTTGTCTCTGAAGAACTTTTCCACCTACACGTTTGCCTCTCAAGTCAAACACAAATTCAGGGATGAAGGAATACGCTTATCTTTGCGGTACTCCTGTTATTACTGCTCTTTAACTCAGCCAGACTTTTACTTGAGCATCTCCTCCACTTTCTCCCTATTAATCAGACCCCTTCTAAATATCCACTTTCTTACCTAACTAAAATCCCATGTATCACTTTTTACCCATGTCCTAAATTCTCATACTATTGTCCTGCCATGACACCTGCCAGGCAAAACCCTGAATTTGATGACTCTATCTATCTGCTTGTTCCAGATCTGTAGTTGCAATGATAAGCACTATTAGAGAAATACGGCCCAGCTCTGCAGAGTGGTCACAATCACCATCTGCACTTGGACCTTGTCACTGCCTACCAATCTTATTACAACCTTTTCTCCCTCTCCCACAAAAGATCATTCAAATCTCCACTATCTTCACATCTCTGATTTTCCTAAACTCTTCTTCCCTCTCAGCAGTATCCACCACCCGCTATTTCACAGAGGAAAGGAAGCAAATCCGTGGGACAGGAACTTCCTCTACTTCCCACCATTAAACTTGTACCCACACCCATTCTGCTTCACTGAAAGAAGTGTTCTTTCATCTGGGCTCTGAACCATTCCTTTCTGCCTTCCCAGTGATCTTGTGCTGATTTTGTTTTCTCTCATCACCATTTTCAACCTCTCCCTCTAAACTAACTCCATCACACCATCAGGTAAACATGCTTAATTCTCTGTCACCTTAAAAACAAAGCAAAATCACCATTTTTAACCCCATGACTTCTTCCAGCTACCACTCTTTTTTCCCACCCTCTCTTCACTGCTAGACTTCTTAAACTGGTTGTTTATACTGTTTACATTTTCTCATCTCTCACTCCTCAACCTACTTCTTTAGCCTTCTGTCGCCTTTACTCCACCAAAATTACTCTTGCTAAGATAACCAAAGACTAACAGAACCCTTCCAATCCTTCCAACTGATCTGTTTAAGATGTATTTGAGACCATTAACCACTCAATTCTCTTTCCCGTTAGTTTCCATGATTCTAAATGCTTTCCCTATTTTCTATTTCTTGGAGTCTTCCGTCTCAATCTCCTTTTCTGAACCTTATTATCTCCTCTTAACTTTGGCACTTTCGAGGTCCTGTTCTAGGCTCTTTTTTTATCCTTCTCACTGTTTCCTTTGGTGAGATTTTATTCACTCCAATGAGGTTTAAGCTGCCTCTCATACCTACCTCTCTAGCCCAATCCTCTTCTTCTGAGTTCCAAACTCAAACATCCATCTTCTAACTTAGGATGTCCGCTTGGCTATCTAACAGGCACTTCTAAACTAAATTCATTCATCATCTCTTTTACACTCCACTCCTGACACCGTGAGCTACTCAGTGTCTCTCAAGACAAAAGCCTGACTCCTCCCTTGCCCTGGTTCCAACATCTAATCAATCATCACCAAGTCCTTTGCTGATATATCTAAGTATTTCTCAATAATATTCTTCTTGCAACCCCACTGCCAGATCACCATTAGCTCTTCCCTGGGTTTCCTAACTAGTTCCTGTGCATCCATAATAATTATTTAACAACATCAAATATAAAGTCAGTGTCCACAATCTCCAATTACCTTATATATTTTGTTTGTGGAAAAGTTTGATTTTGTGTGATTCAGGGTCCAAATCAGTCCTGTACATGGCAATTGGTTTATATGTCTCATAACTACCTTTTAATCTATAATATCCTCCTGTACCTCTCTTTTTTCTATGCACTTTTTTTTCTGGAAACATACACACACACAACCCCAGATTCTCTGTCCCATAGAGTTTTCCACAATCTGGATTTTGCTACTTGTATGCCTCTTTTGTCATTTAATATGTTTCTCTGTCCTTTATATTTCCTATAAATTGGTAGTTAGATCTAGGGGCTTGATCAGATTGATGTTCAATTTTTTTTTTTTTTTTTGCAAGACTACTTCAGTGGTAGTACTGTATAATTTCATCAGGAGGTATACAATATTTGGCTTCTCTCCATTTAAGATGTTATAAGCCATGAATGATCACTACCTATAATTAAATCCATTAATTCATTAAGGGTTCCCTACATCCATTCTTGTTATTCCCTGATAATACTGCACACAGTACAGCCAACCTGATCTTTATAAAATGCTAATCAAATCATGTCACTACCTCTCTAAACCTTTCAATGGATTCTCATTGTCCTTAGAATAAAGTCTAGAATCTTTACAGGCTTCCAAGGTGCTCCATGATCTGGCCTCTGCCTGTCTTTTATTTCTCACCTTACCTCATTCCCAACACCCTTGTTATACTAGAATTCTTTCAGTTCCCTTAATCCCCTTCTCTTTACTCTATGCCTCTGCACATACTCTTCTTAGACTACCACTGTAGCACAGGCAAATGCAGAGCCTTCGTTAACTAATTCCCATTCATCCTTCAAGTATTGGCTTAAACATAACTTCCTCAGTAAAGCATCTTGACCCCACAGTCTAAGTTAAATTCTCTTGTCAAATGCTTCTACAGCATACTTGACTTCCCTTCCCTTTTCCCTCACTCATTATAAATAAAGGCAGAGATCACTACTGTCTTGTTCACTGCTATACCTCAATGACTAGCACTGTCTAAAAGAGCATATGTATTTAATAACCAGTTGTTGAATTAAACTGAAATTAAAAACCATCTTTCTGTGGGTACTGATAATGCCCCTTTAAAAACTGTTATTTTGAAATACTTAAGATTTGCAAATGGTATTTTAGATCATGATAGATAATAATGCATAATGAACATATGAAATGTTCAAAGGTTCATTATAAAGACATACAAAAATGATTACCTGCTAATTTAGAATAAACAAAAATCTTCTCTAGAGATTCTTGGACTTTAACAATTTTTTCTACAGTCTATTACAAAAATCTCTTTCCTAAAGAACCAAAAAGCAGCAAATAATGTTTAAAAATCTCTCTTACTTTTATGAAGAGGAAGGGGTTTAAGAAGATCTGGCTGTGCTTGAGTCACAGGTACAGGTGGTCCTTTTCCTCCAATATGATTGTTCACAACTGGATTCTGTTGTCTGCCTCTTAGCAGTGGAGACATACAGCGACGTCTTTTAGGGATCCCTTGCATATTTGGTTCTCCAGGTCGTTTATGTTTATTTTGAGGTCCAGCCACAAATTCATCGGCTTCATCTATCATCATACCCTATAACAAAAAAGAATATAATTTCTCTGAATTTAGACATAGTTTTTAAATGGCATAACTAATTTCAATTCCCATTAAAACAACTATATTATAACTATGTTGGCATTTATTAAATATTCTACCAAGAAAACAGCTTCAGGTTACTTCAGTTAAATTAAGAAGTGTTAAATCCACAGTGCCTAGCACAAATGAATTATATAATGAAACATTTCAAATTTACCTTTTTGTCCAGCTTAAAGGGGTTGCCAAATGTATGCAACCTTCGAGGCTGATCAGGATCAAGTTCTCTTAGTGGAGAAGGTACTTGCTTGAGGTATTCCTGGTAATTCCCCATTTGTGCTATAGGAACACTGTGTACTTGATCTTTTCAGACAGAAGAGAGCAATAATAAAAGTTAACCTCATTAAAACTACACTCTATCTAGTTATCAAATAATGTCTTCTTATATATGAATGCTACCTGGTGTTATTCTAGGCAGTCTTCCCTTACCACATATTCTAAATTAATTTGTTGCCATTATAAATATTGTGACATAAAGTCTCTGAGATTTCTTAAATAGCATTTAAAATAATTGATTTTATCTTCTAAACAAAACAAAAATATTTGAGTTAATTTCAGTGCACAGAATAAGCAATACATATGTGTAACCTTACCATGAGAAGGAATGTCTCTTCTACTCTATTCCAAATAAGCAGAATTTAATTATAGTAGGATTTACAGAAAAGAGGTATCACACAGATAACCCTTTTTACATAAGGCTATAGTTGGAATGCTTACATCAGAGATGGCAAAGGGTTAAATTCTCGTCTATTTGATTTGTAGTAGGTGCCATGGATATAGCTGAAGGAAATACCAGAACGTAACACTTATTGACCATCAAGAGTTAAACCATCAGATACTAGCATATCATGAGAAAATGATTTTGTGTGTCTGTCTGTGTGTGTGAATGTATGAAGAAAGCCAAAAAGAAAACTAAGCTATTAACAAAGGCTGTTACCTCTGTGGAACAGAATTTGGGGCAACAGAGATGGTAGGAAGAGATATACAGAATCAGAGATGACTCACTTTTTACTTCATTTGTTTGAATTTACAATGAGAATGTGATACTACTATAACAATTCTTTAAAAGTTACATTACCATACTATGTTTTTTCAATATAGAGAAAGAAATTTACAAAAGAAATACCAATATTAAAATCACCATCTAACCTTCATCCTGTCCTTTAAGAAATCTACGGGTGCTCTTCAAAAGATTAGATCTCATTCTTGTTAAGTGATCCAAAAGATTCCGTCTTGGTATGTCATACGCGTTTCTAAATGTCTGTGGCTTCAAATCCTATTGAAAGACATTCAAAGACAAAATTTATTTTCAAACACAGAATTAGACTAAAATCTCTAGCCTGAAGCATAGGTTTGGAAATAAGATATACAAGTTAACTAATTAGCTTAAAAAAAGAACAGAGAGTTATGATACAATCTTAATAATGTACTGTTTTGCAAACCAAAAGATAAAAAATTGGTAATGAGCTCAACCACATAATCTCAAATTCACATCTCTCAAGATTTTACCATATATTCTGGCTAAGAGAAGTAAATATCTTATAAAATGAATTTCCAAATTCTAAAGACTTTGAAGGTTTAGAAAACCAGCTTTGATGTTTAATTTACATACCAAAAAATCACGCGTTTTAGGTATACAGTTTCGCAAGTGTCAGTGAATTTATAGTTGCGAAACCATCACTACAATCCAGTTTTAGAACACTTACATCATCCTAGAAAGTTCCTTGTGCCCATCTGTAGTCAACCCCTATTCCTATCCCCAGGCAACCACTGATCTGTTTTCTGTCTCTCTATTTTCCATTTTATCAATGGAATCTTGCAATATCTAATCTTTTCCTTCTGGCTTTTTTCCCTTGGCATGATGTTTTTGAGATTTATCCATGTTGTTCATGTGTCAGTAGTCTGTTCCTTTTTACTGCAGGGTACTGTTCCATTATATGGATAAACCATTTCTTTATCCATTCACCAGTTGATAAACACTTGGATTGTTTTCAGTTTTTGGCTATTATGAATAATGCTGCTATGCATATTTGCATACAAAGCCTTTACATGAACATATATTTTCATTTCTCTTAGGTAGATACCTACAAGTAGAACTGCTGGTTATACAGCAAGTATATATTTACCTTCTTAAGAAACTGCAAACCATCTTCCATTAACAATATATGAGACTTTTAGTTGCAAGACCATGATCACTTCCGTTAATGTAAGGTAAAGATCAAGTTCATTATTTTGAATATGGATATTCAACTGTTCCAATACCAATTGTTGAAGAGACTATCTCCTTACCCACAGAATTATTTTGGCACCTTTGTTAAAAATTAATTGACTATATGTGTGACAGCCTACTTCTAGACTCTATGCTCCATTGATCTGTTTATCCTCATGCCAACAATACAACACGTTGATCACTGTAGCTTTACAGTAACTTTTAAAATCAGATAGTGCAAGTTTTTTCTTTTCCAAAATCGTTTTAGCTATTCTAGGACCTTTTACATATAAATTTTAGAATCAGTTTGTCTGTTTCTACAAAGCCTACCAAGATGAAGATCTTTTCAATAATGAGTACCGATAAAGCATTTTAGGATCATGCTGTGTGCCCAACGTCATTAGTCTAAGTACCAAACTACAGTGAACTCTACCATTAGCTATGTAATGTTAGGCAATCTATAAGCCTCTGTTTTCTCATCTATAAAATAAATGAGTTGGTTTACTCTTCATTAATTCATCCATTCACCCACTAACCATGTACAATGTTTGTTTTAATTCTAAAATTCCATGATTCAATAATTGTATAAATGATCATTATTCTACAGAGTTACAGAAGTACTTCTTAAAGTTCAGACAGACTGAATATCACTTAACAGAAAATTTGATTTATTCAACAATACAACAGAAAATAACTAGAGCGATACTAAATTCATATAATTATTACCTTATTGAGCAAAGCAACTTGGAACCCAGTGTATTCTTTCATATTAAGGTCTAGCAGTCGGTGAGGAACATCCTCTGAAATTCCTTGAAGCAGCTGTTGAAAATCTTTCCTATAAGCCATTGATAAACCATGTGATCGGCTTCGGACTTTAATTCCAGTTTCCTGTACTACTTTTTTGCCTACAGATCCGATGACTCGATCAGATTCTATTTTGGCCTAAAGTAAAAATAAACAACAGTTGTTTTACATAGTCTAAATTGATAAACTGAATACTAATAGTTTTGGTCTTCTATAAATTAAATATTTATTATATTAAAAAAGGATATAAGAAGTTAAAAACTCAAGTAGCATAGTTTATGTCAAGTACTTGATAAGCTAAACATAGTTTAAACAACAACATCTTATGATTTTAAATCATTACAATTCTAATCTTTTGGAGCAGAGCAAACAAATACAACTTCAATTTATTTCATTAATATCCACTACACACTTAAACCATTAAACGTAAATGCACCCTAAATGAAAATATATATTTCCAATTCAGAGGTGATATGAAATTAGAAAAAATAATCTCATCAATATTTACTTAAAGACCCTGTTATCAGCACATAACCCAATGTTCATAGATATAGCAAATGGTGGTATAAGGTTTCACTGGAAAGCAAACAGCAGTATTTTGAGTCTTTCCAACATACATTTCAATTAGCAGTTAAAGTAGAGATGGTAAAAATACTGGGAAAATAATGTATTTTATACATTAATAACCTGGCAGTCAAACTGTATACTGCTCTACTACCATAGTATTTAGTAATGTGATTTATGCCCCAAATAACAAAATTCAGTATTTTTACAAACATTTCTAATATATTCCCATTTTGAAAGAAAAAACTACAGGTTTCATAACATAAATCAAAAGAAACTGATTTTTTTGTGTAAGAAAAACAACTTTCTAACATAAATTTCTCAAAAGAAAACAAAGATTATTCACATACAGGAAGTCTAGGACCACATTAATGAAGCCATTTTCATAAACTAGGAATTATTCAAAATTCACATTTCAAAATATAGCATATCATGTACCTAACAGAATTATGTTAATATATGATTTATGTGGTTTTCAAATATAATAATATTCTTAGTTCCATAAGGACCATCAAAAACTAACATCTGGCCTTTTAACCATCTTAGCCAAAACCATTCAAAATACTTAATGGCTCTCCCTAATTTTTAACATTACCTGTTGACTCAATTTTTTGAGGTATGAAATGACACTGTAACTAAGTCCATATTCCATACTGTCTGCTATTAGGTTAGGTGCTCCCATCATTCTAACAGCTTTCTTCAAAGGCTGCAGGAGAAAAGAAAACACCACTCAATCCTAAGCTTGTCAAAATTTATGGCTAGATGTATTATCAGTTTTGAAAATTTCTCCAAAAAACGTTTCTCCTTCCTTTCTTCAATAAGAGAGTAACAGAATCATATTTGTATTTCAGTAAAATGTTTGTCAGCAGTATGAAAGGCAGTTTGAAATACTTAAAAAGGATTATAGGCTATAACAATAACACCCGGGACAAGAGAGTGTGAAGGCCTGGACACTTAGTATCACTGGAGATACCAAGTTTGGAAGAAATGGGCAGGAGACACATTGCAGAGGTAGATTTGATAGAACTTGGGGAGTAAGTAAAAAGGAGTTAAGGAAAAGAGAAGATTTCTACCTGGGTAACTGGATGGGTTGTAGCTGGACCACTCAGTAGCTTTGTGACCCTGGACCAGAAATATAACCTCTCTGTGCCTTAAGTTTCTCATGTGTAAAATGATAATAATAGTATCTACTTCATAGGGTTGTCATGGGATTAAATGAATTAACACATGTAAAGCACATATAAAAGCATCTGGCACACAGAAAGCATTCAGTGGGTGTTAAACATTACCGCTATTATCATTAGCTGAGCTGAAAAAACAGGAATAAGCTCTGAAGGAAAAATAAAGAGGAGGAAAAAACAGTCTAATATTTACTATGGATGTGGTATAGTGAAATAATGTTCAATTGTAAGGAGAGACCAATTGAGAACCACTTTGTGCAATGAAAAGTATCACTAACAGGACTGTCTCACATATATAAATGGGACAAAGTCAGAAAAAAGATAACTATTCATTAACATATTAGAAAGTGTGTAAGCACTGGTGTCAAACTGGAATCAAATCCCAGCTCTGATATTTACTATCCATGTAGCTCTGGCTAAGCCCTCTGGGTTGCTATGAAACATAAATGATTCAACATATGGAACAGTTCATATTCTAAGTGCTTTTTCCTTTTCACTCTCTTACATGGCAGGCACTATGTGCTAGACACTCACACAATTTATCTAACTATAAAATATGATTTTCAAAGCTCAAGAAATTAACGTTCTTATTAGGGATCATTTAGAAAGATTAGTTACAGTCAAATGCTATAATATTCCTGCATTAAAAGCAGAAGTAATGTTTAAAAGTGCTTTTAGTGTAGGTGTTTTTGTTAAGAAGTTACTTTTCATAAAATAAATAATGTATTTATAATAAATACATTATTGATCTTATCCACTATGACACACTAGCTTTTAAGTAATCAGAAAACTCATGGTTCTAAAAATACATGTTCTATGAGAATATATACTTATCTACCTAAAAACATGTTTCTGGAGATTTAGGGAATAACGCAACAAAAACCATTTTGAACCCTTAAAGAGAAATAATTATAAAACTGCAATTTAAAAAGGGAGTATAACAATTAAGGTTAAGAGGCTAAATTCTAAAGCCAGGTTACCTGGGACTGAATTTCAGTCTCCTATATATTAGTTATGTAGCCTTGGGTGAATTCCTAAATCTTTTAGTGCCTTAGTTTCCTTATCTGTGAAATAGGAACAATGATTTCTATTTTGTATGGTTACTATATAAATGAAATGAGGTTAACACATGTAAAGTGCTTAGGATGGTATCAGGCCTAGCTAAGCATTATATATATATATATTCTCATGATCATCATCATTATTCTGCAAATCACTGAAACATTTCTTTCCTATTATATCTGTATTGGTCACTTGTACACTCAATTTTCATGATGTTTAATCTATAACAGCAATAAATAAGAGTTTTAATACCTATAGTAAACTATAAGCATAATATAAAATTTATAGCAAGTTCCATTTTTAACAATAATATTCTTACCCCAAGATAGTAGGGAGGCATTGTCTTCAAATAATTTTCGAATGACTGTCTCCACTTCAATGTTGGTTTTGCTTTATGTACTTTAAACAAGTCATCTATAAATGTACAATGTGAACAAATTATCATCATTCATTGTTTTCACACACGAAAATCAAGTCCAATAAGTTTCATTTTTAAAATCTCCTTTCTTATTTGTAAGAAAGACAGTAACATCTGACAAGTTTTTAACAAAATTGAAAGCAGTAAAATTTATGGTTCTGGCATCTTTGAGTAGTAATATCATTTTAAAAATGAAAAGGTGCCAATTAGTCAAAAATTACATGTAATAATAAAGTAGAATCAGAAAATACACAAGGGAAATCTCTCTCCTATCTAGACCAAGACATGAACCAGATTTGAGAACAGAAACAAATTTTACACAATGTTTTCTAGAAAATATACATACTAATATTATAACTATAACATTTAAATCTCATGTGATTCCATGGAGGGAAAAACATCTCTGACAGTACTCCTCAAAAAATTATAGCCAGACGGTCCCCAGAAACTAACTTTTTAGGCTTTTATCATATTATTTTGGAACAAATTCGTTCTTTAAAAAAATATTTGCCAAATGAAAATTAAAGTACAGATAAATTCTTAGAAAGAAAATACACTCAGATCTTATAAATATAATATACTTCTACAAAATGTCTTATTTACCAAATACAAAGCCTGCACCACCAATTCTAACTATGTACGAAATCTAACTTGCAGAGAACTTAGAATATTTAATTTAAAATTTTTAAATATAATATCTTCAATAGTTTGTAGAATCAAAGGTGTTTTGACAGTGACTTTCAATTTACCACAAAAATGCATAGTTTGCTACAAAACAACCTTAGATAGGTTCAGTATTTTAGAGTATTAAAACACTTTCATTAATTTCTACAAGACAAGAAAACTTACAGATGTTCCCAAAGTTTGTTTTTAGGAAAATTTGTATGCATGCTGAGCCACAGAGGATGTGACAAGAATGACTTACCTAAAAGGGGGAGGAGGACTGGGTAATTATAAGGCATCACAAATAAGTTGACACAGTTCAGTGCTGTACTGGCTTTTAAGTAACCAAAGGGATGACCAAGTTCACTATATTTTGCACTATTGCTCACATACACCTGTTAAAAAGGAGTGGTTAAAACTTCATATTTAATAACCTTTACAGAATGTTATATAAACCATTGATTCAACTTAACTTTTAAGAAACATTTCACTTAAGTTTTTAAATCACTATAGTTATTCAGCTCACCTGCCAACATGTTTGAGGAGATTTCCTTTCCAAGATAAATTGAGTTAGTGGTGAAGGTTCTAACTCGTATTTGTCAAAAGGCAATTTGTCAATAACCATCGGTTCACAGTCTGTACAGGAAAACTTCACCACAGGGTGAGATGTACGAGGTGGCTAGAGGGGAAAATCTTATTATTACTATTTACAGAAAATATCAGAAACAAACTCATTTTCAGTATCATTCACTAGCAAAATTTACTCAGTTCCTCAGTTTTGCTAGGGAGAGTTTAATTTACTACTGAAAGCACCATTAAGCTGAAAGAAAATACTTAAAAATGTAATGCTTAAATTATACAATATTCATAAGAAAAAGATAAAACACTTCAAAATCTATACAGAATAAAAGTGTTTTTAGGTCTTAAAATCAAATAGATACGTTAAATGCAAAATTTTGGAATTTAGCAAGTACTAATTAATTTTTACATCCAAGAAACAACTAATGTATATAGAAACTTTCATTAAGTTCTCAATTGTAGCAATTTAATTACTTGCATAGAGTAGTGGCTTCCTAACTGATCATACACCTTGATCAGTAAAATTTTTTGAATATATAATACATTAGGACATATACACATTTATTTATAATTTGTAAATTATTAACTTATAGGTACATAATAAAATACATACCAAAATAATGTTAAAAGTAGGAGAAAAAAATAAACAAATAGAAGTTCCAATGTTTTCCTTCCCTATTCCAGTAGACTGTTTTAGTTATCCCTGTGGTACATACACCCTACTTTGGAGACCCTGTTCTAGAGGTACACAAAACAAAATACTTTAAAGAAAAAAAAAATAAGGCATCTTACACTATTTCCCCCCTTAATAGTCTCCCCTTCCTAAAAATCTCACCAATTGAAGACTGTTGAAGAAAATATGAGCTATAAGGAAATAATTCGAAATTTCATAACTATAAAGGACTCATTAGCCTCAGTTACTACCTATGCACTGATGGCTCCAACATCTACAGTTTGGGACTAGATCTCTCTTATTTCTCTTATGTATCCAACTGCCTACTGGACATAAACTGAATCTTCTATAGGTCCCTCAGGCACATTATTACCCAATTCGTTATTTCTCCCTCAAACCACAAAACCTGTTCTAAAAACCTAGATGTTGTCCTTAATATCTTCCCCACACCCTCCATATTTAACTGTCACAAAGGCCTAGACAAAATGATACCACAAATTCTAAGCCACTTAACAGAACACAGAAACATGGCAGATGCTCAGTATTTAGTTACTGTCCTCTGTCAATACTAAATTCTCCTCTCTCTAGAAATTGATCTTCTATTTCTTACCATTCTAATGCATGCCTTCATCTTTCTTAGACTAGGCTAGTCCAACTGCTTATTTTTAATTAGTCTCCCTAATTAGTTAGTCCCCTCCAACCAATCCTATGGCCATGAAATATAAATATGATCATATAATTTTCCTTACCTGAAGTTTACTTGGTAAAAGTAGCAGTTAATCACCTAAAAATAGGGCCCAGACGCTTTTCTGTTAGTATCCTATACAAAGATCCTTAATGATCTGGTCCCTGTCTGCCTTTCAACCACCACACCATGTATATACCCTGTGCTCCAGCCAGCCCAAACTACTTGCAGTTACCCACAGAGATCATCATCTTTCTTGCTCCTGTGTGTCACATGTTATCCCTGGCTGCTTTATTATTTTCTCCCTTGCATACTGCAAACAAACAAAGTTTTGAAGTCTGAACTGGCAAGTGCCAGCCTCTAAGAGACTTCTTCCCCGAAACTCTTTCTCGCCACGTACTCCAAACACACACCAAGCAGTTAGGCACCACATCCTCTGCCCCTCTGTTACAGTTAGCACACTGTACTCTGTTATGTTTACAGGGCTGACCTTCCTATGGATGGTCAGTTTCCAGAGAGGACGCACCATGTTTTACTCATCTTGTGCTCCTGTGCCTAACATGCACCTGACACATAGCTACAAAAAAGCAAAACTCACTTTTTTTTGGGGGGGATGAAAATCTTAAGATCCAAGAGGAAAAATGGGGGGGGGGGGGGGTAATCCTCCAGAACTTGGTAAAGAACATTTTGCGTTCATTATTTCATCCAATCCTATGAGAGAGGAGCTATTATCTCCATTTAAGAGATGGGAAGTTGAGGCTTAGAGAAGATAATTAACCAAAGGCACATAGTTAATAACTGGTAGCGCTATGATTCAAATTCTGAACCAGTCTCTAATGAATCCCATTTAATTTCAGTATCAATACTTCTTATTTGAAATACTATTACTTACAAAAGTTTCATTTCCCCTCTAATATCCTTCAGTTACTAAATTTTGCCAGTTCTTTCCAATATTATCTGTTTTCTATGACTTTCCCTTCCATCATCTTAATTCAAACTCTTAAAAATCTCTTACATGAACCTTAGTTATAGTCCTCCAGGTAACCTGCTTACCTTCCAACTCATCTGCTTCTAATTTTGCTGCATATAACCACCAACTAGATTAATTTTCCTAAAGCAGCACTCCATTAAAAATGTCTTCAGTTGTTCTATGGAGCCCACTGAAAAAAGTCCAAATTCCTTAACCTTGCATTTAACATCATGAGCAATTGGTTTATTTAAAGTACTCTCAATGTCCTGCATACATGTCACAACTCACCTTTACTAGCTCCTTTTCATTCCTCTAAACACCTTGTTCTTTTTCACTTCAATACTTTTTTCTCACAGTTTCCTCCTCCAACTGAAATCCTACCCACACTTCGAAACTCTCCCTGGCCTGTAACAATTTTCAATAGACCACTAGAGCAATATTAACAGGCGATGCTTTTGATTATGGGTTTTGGATTTCTTTCTATTAGGACTTAACAAGTATCACTCATACTACTGTAGGTGTTAAATAAATACAATAGAATGAAGAACCAACAGACAATACTTCATACAAATATAATATCTGTTCTGTAAGAGTTGAAAGGACTTCAGAAGAGAAAGTAAAATGACCACAGAAATTGAGAACCTCTCTATAAGGCCAGACTAAAAAACTATGCTGGCTCAATCAGAAAAAAAGGAAAGGAATATATAAAAAACCTCAGTGAAATTTACAAAACCTTAATTTCATGTACTACTTCATTGAATCTCTAACAAATAAAGGGAATACTACTTTACAGACCTTGTATAAAGTAAAAGTAAAAATTATCCTGAAGAGTTGATATAGATTTTAAGTATAAAAAGTTTCCAAAAGGGTTCAGTTTCATTCATAAATGATAGGTACATGAACATTATTAAAGACTGCTTAACGATCTTTGAAATACAATTCTTGTCTTCTAAGGGTAATATTAAAAGGACCACTGTCATTCTCTCCCACAAAATATCCTGTCATGTCCTGAGATACTGGAAAAAATACTAATCTGAAAAAAACAGTGTATTAACAAGATTGAATAGATATTAATTTATATAAATTTACCCATTATAAGAACCATATAGTGAATTCTGATAATTCATCATGATTTCCAAAAAAATTCATGTAAACAAGACCAGAAAATCTTTTCTACCTTAAACCTCCAGAATGAAAACACTGAATATAACTATAACCATGCAAGTCAACATGAATTTCCAAGACTAAGTCCTAAAAGATTGCAGGCAAACAATCAGAACTGTTTTCTAAGTCTTCATTTAAATTCTAAATTGTGTCCCAGAGACAAATCCTCATGTTACGCGATGTTTAGAGTCCAAAGAGAAACTCGTTACACCTCTGATTCTGTACACAGATGCCAATAATAAAAACATAAGTGTAGTATTAGAAGGAAAAAATGCCTTTTTTCTATTACCCATAATGTACAATAGAGTATACTAAAGCAAGTGACAGCATATCATAGCATTTTGGACATGTAATTCCTGTAAATTAGCCACCCCTTTAACTGACAGCAGAACTTTAAACTGAAAGCAGTTAAATAGTACTATTACAAAGTCACAGTCTCTCTAGTACTTACTAGTGTTGGAGAATTCTGATCTGGCCAAAAAGATTCTGGAACAGGCCAATGACCTATAGGAACCCCCGTTTTAGGATTTGGTCTGACATAAATGAGTTTGTGACAGCTATGCCAAGGCTGAGATCCAAAAGGCCTTGATATATCTGGCTGCCCATCTATAGCAAAGAAGTTAAGACAAAGAAAGCATATATCATTAAGGGAAAAAAACATGAAAGATTAAATTATATCCATTAGCATTTAACTTAATTAAAATGTCCCCTCATCCTTGGTCAATTCTGGATTTTCCCATTTTTCTTATATGGTAGAATACTATCATGACTGGTTAACATTTAGATTAGATTAAAATTCACTAAAGCACGGACTCTGCAAATTCCCACTCTGAGTTCAACAGTTGATAGGTCCCATAGCACCCTTTGCTTGCCCAGTAAAGATATGTAAACCATACTTTATGGTAAATACTTGTCTAACAGATGATATGTTTTCCCCACCAGATGATGAGAGCAAATGCCCAATTTCTTTCTATCTTTCTTTCTTTTTTTGAGGAAGATCAGCTCTGAGCTAACTGCTGCCAATCCTCCTCTTTTTGCTGAGGAAGACTGGCCCTGAGCTAACATCCATGCCCATCTTCCTCTACTTTATATTTGGGACGCCTACCACAGTAGCTTAGTAAATACGAGGTAAGTATTGCTAAATGAATATTTCTTTAAAATCATTTTAACTAAAGCCTAATGATTAAAAAAAGCTTAACATGCAAATCCAGATCCAAAGCATCTGCTTTTAATACAAAAGTATTCTAGCAAAACAGCAACTCTCTTCAACAGTTCAGTAAACATGTACTTAGTGCCTAACTCTAAGCCAAGTACAAAAATAATTTAAAAATACATTCCATGTCTAACATTCAATTACAATAAAAAGTTTGTTTTTTTAAACCAGACACAGTGATACAATTTATATAATCTTACCATCTTCTGCTCCTTCCCTGTAATCCCCTCTGAGAGTACCCATTTTTTTTGTCTCTATGACCTTTCTCTCCTCCCAATTGCCCACTCTAGTGGAACACCTCTGCCAAGTGTCATTATGACTTTCTAATTGTTGTTATAAGCTACATTGTACAATGCAGAAGGTCCCAGATACAAGCTGTCCATTGGTTCTAGTTTAACTCCTTACACCATATGGCTAATATAAATAGCTCCTGATCACAGAACTTAGAATAAAGCCACATGGAGCTTAGCTAGAGTTAAAAGAATCAAGCTTAATGGCAAAGACTGGTTCCTCATTTTTGGAACCACACAAACTATTTTGCGCTGACCAGTTTGATCCTTAGAAAAAATATAGTTATTTGAATTAAATAAACACCTAGGGTTGAACACCCTTGTGAATTAAGGGACATAGGAGAAGCACATATACTAGAGACAGGCAACGTTAAAACACTAGAAAGGAAACATGAGGTTGCTAATCTGTAAATGCTTAAAACGGTTTTTGGCTCTTAGAAAATTTCAGGCTATGAACAATCAATATAAAAAAATGACGCTACTGAACCACTATCAGTTTACCTTGACTTTCCTATTTAATCTTCCCTCTTTACCAAGAGCCGTTTTGTCATCTTAACTGTTTGGCCTTGTCAATCTTAAGGCCAAATTAGAGTAATTTTTCATTTCTAGCTGAATAATTGATAAAGCAAGTTTAGAATGTCTATAAGAAAAGTGCAATAATACCTTCTACAGGGGAAGGATCTGGTCCTGCTTTTTCAAAGTTTATCACTACCCCACTTTGCACTTTCTGCACCAAGGACTCCAGACACTGATTCAGCATTCTTGGAGAACATACAGAATATGAGCGGCCTGAGATAAAAGGAATAGTGAACTAGTTAGTTGCAGAAATTCCTACCTTTAGCAAGAAAGAACCATAATGGGGTTTCTGACACTGCTGATTAACAAAGTTCAATGGTAAATTTTGACTTATTTCATTATCTTACGGAAGAATGAACAAATACAGTTATTTTCAATCAACCAACAATTTCATTTGTGAGAGTTTTTTTCTAATTATAGGTATACAGAAAATAGTAATCTTGGTCTGAACAAACCACAGTGAAAAAGATCCACATTATATTTATTGTATTATATATATATTACAGGTGATTTAAAGTATATATATTATATATTAATAGATTCTCAATCATTTAATTATTTAATTGCTGGCAGTTATTGCATATTTTAAATATTTGCACTTTAATATACAGATAGTAGCATGTGCTTTTCTGAATTTCATTTAGCTTATATACTTGGGAATTACCTATCTTAAATGAATTTCCCTTTTGTATATTTTGTATATTTTAACCTATAGGATTTTTAGTTCAGAAGTATTAAAATGCGATTTTAGTGATTAAGTGATTACGTGAAAAGATCTCAGAGATTTTCAATAAATATATCTGGACTTGTTTTGTCCCATACTATAGTCAATGGCCACATATGGCTATTGAAAACTTAAAATATGGCTAGTCCAAATTGAGATGTACAGTAAATATAAAATATAAACCTGATTGTGTAGACTTAATATGAAAAAAATATAAAATCTCAATTTTTAAATATTAAGTTCATGTTGAAATATTTCGCATATATTGATTTAAATAAAAGGTATTATTGAAATTAATTTCACCATTTCTTTTTAATGTGACTACCATAAAATTTATAATCACATATGTGACTTGCATCATATTTCTATTATGTGTGCTGATCTAGACCAATGCTGAAAACCTTGACAACTAAAATTCAATCTTTAATCCAACACCTTACAAAGTTATTTGCAATAAGCTCAATATGGAAAAGTCCTACTCTTTTATAAATTTAACCAATGATTTCTGCACATGGCTATAATCATATGTGACATATCACATTACTCATATTGATTTATACTTAACATGATTTGCTAAAGGTTACTTGGAAAAGAGAACATTAGGCAGTAGTGTGATTCAAATCCTCAGTCAGCTTTATTTAGAAAAATAAGTATCCTATACATAACAAACAACTTACCTGTATTACCTGTATATGATAACGTTAGTCATAATCAGAAAAACACTGATCAATTACTGAGTGTCTATATGTCTGGCACTATTCTAATCACTTTACCATATTAATTTATTTAATCCTAGCAACAACCATATGGATTTTCTTCATTTTACAAATGAGAAAACTAAAGCATGTAGAGGTTGTTTAGTTTATCCAAGTTAATAAAGTAGTACAGCCAAGATTCAAATCCTTACAGGGTATTAGAAACTTTAATCTGGGTATGCTTTGTTCCTTGGAAATCATGATGTTAATTTGAAATCAATATTTAAAACAGAATGTCTATATGGAGTCAAAGTTATGTGAAAGAATTAGTAAATTAAAAATATTTTTTCCAGGGCCAGCCTTATGGCCGAGTGGTTAAGTTTGTGTGCTCCGCTTCAGCAGCCCAGAATTTCACTGGTTTGGATCCTGGGTGCGGACCTGGCACTGCTCATCAGGCCAGGCTGAAGCGGCATCCCACAAAGCACAACCAGAAGGACCTACAACTGGAATATATAACTATGTACTGGGAGGGGGACTTTGGAGATAAGAAGAAAAGGAAAAAAAGAAAAAGATTGGCAATAGATGTTAGCTCAGGTGCTAATCTTAAGAAAAAAAAAAAAAAAAAAAACTTCCAAGATAAACACATACATAAAACAATACATAAAAAGGCTGACCATCTTAACATACAAAGTATTTCGAAGACTATACAAAGGTTGAATATCTTACTTCATAAGACTTTAGCATATTCCCAAAATGTTAAGTGTAAAATTACAGCAATTCTCTGTACTCTCCTAACCTGTGTCACCATGAATTAATTGATTAGGAAAAGATAAGTAAATGAGTTACGTTCTTAGCATGAAATAAAATAACTAACAAAAATATTTTATGAAAATTAGAGAAAAAGTGAATAAACCTGAATCACTTGGAAAATAAAATCTATTAATTCTTTTGGAAATTAAAGAGGAAATAGCAAATATTGCTATCTTTACAAAATGAGCCTGTATCCTATGTGATGTTTCTCTTCTCTGTGTCAAAACTCAGCCCTTGGAATGTATGATACTTTGTATTGAAGCACAAAGTTTCTAGGATCACTAATTATGTTTGTGAGAAAGGCACACACCTTCAAGTCAAGAAGCTGTCTCACTCATGGTTATGTAGAGTCCACAAAAAAAAAATCAAGCTAAATATACTGAGTCTGAAGGCAGTAAAGTTAAAAAGAAAACTCCCACAGAAGTCTACTAGATTAGCATTTTAGTAAAACAAAAGAGACAAAAAGAACATTTCTAAATTGAACAACAACCCTTACAGAGGCTAAGAAAGTGAAATTTATTTAATCTGGAAAAGTCTCCTAATTTTTATAAAATGCTTTTTATCCTCAATACTCCCACCAAAAAACACGTCTGCTGGGCATTTTTTGATCTGATATCATGCCTGCACCTCCCCTAAACCTGCTTTTCCCCAGTGTACTCATCTAGGTCCATGGATAGCCATTCACCCTCCAGTCATCAGCTAACTGAATCATCTAGGAATCATCCTTGATTCTTTCTTCCCTCATTGTCCTCATCCTTTATTCTCCTTTGCATCAGACCACCTCTTACCACCTCTAAACCTAACACTTTAGACCAAAGTACTATTATCTCCTACTAGTCTATCTGCTTCCATTCTTACTACGTTACTGTATATTCTCATCTAGCAGCTGAAGTTACCTTTCAGAAATAGAAACCAGATGTCACCTCCCATAAAAAAGTTCTCCAGGGGCTGGCCCCGTGGCCGAGTGGTTAAGTTCATGAGCTCTGCTTCGGGGGCCCAGGGTTTCACCAGTTCAAATCCTGGGTGCGGACATGGTACCACTCATCAAGCCATGCCGTGGCGGCATCCCACTTGCCACAACTAGAAGGACCCACAACTAAAAAAAATACACAACTATATACCAGGGGGCTTTGGGAGAAAAAGGAAAAATAAAATCTTCTAAAAAACACAAAAGTCCTCCAATGGCTTCTCATCACACTTGGAAAATGAAAAATATTTATTATGGCCTAAAAGGCTATTGCCTACCTTTCTAAACTCACCTGTTAACTTTCTACTCCTCCCTATGTAAGCTCCAGCCACAGCAGCCTTCCTGCTGCTCCCAAAAATATAGAGCATGTTACTTCCCTTAATATTTCCTCTGCCTAAATCTTCATATGGTTTACTTCATTATTCAGATCTCTGCTCAAACCTTAACTAGACTTATTCTGGTGATCCTTTCGTAATATATACAAATATTGGATAATTATGTTGTACACCTGAAACCAATACAATGTTGTATGTCAACTATACCTTAATTAAAAAATGGAAAAAAAAGAGGGTCGATGAACATGCTGTAACAATAATTTTAGAGGGATTAATATTTTTAAGATACAACCAGGGCTGATTTAATCCCTATTCAAACAAGTGGCTTAAACTTCAAGGTTAGAGATATGCAAATGCAATTTATAAAAGAATAATGGTTGTTTTATTTACTTCTTTAGACAACAAGTATCTCCAAGGATAAACAACATTTTAAACTGATTCAAACTGGGGTAAGTGTATCCTTTAGGTTAACAAAACAAAAGTCACCTGCTCAGAAGACTTCTCAAGAATATTCATTCTCTACCTCAAGTTACTCTCTACACCTTTACCCTAGTTTTTTCTTCCTAGTAAGTAGCACTCCCTAAAATATTATGTATTCATTTTAACTGATTTTTGTCACAGTCCAAAAATGTAAGCTTTCTGTCTATTGTTCCTGCTATAGTCTCAGCATCAAGAACAGTTATCCGGCATAGAGTGGGTATTCATTAATTACCTGACAATAAAAGAAAAATGCTTACAATGACAATTCTGCAATTTTTTAAAAAACATACACAAAAAATAACAAAATATTAATCAATTATTTTGGCAACACAGGCAAATTTCTTTCCAATTCTTACCTAGTGAACATGAATTATTCTATAATGAGGAAAATAAATGTACACACACTACTCTTATCAAGTTAAAAAAGTGCAAGGGAATTTATTAGCAGGAATTACATATTTGGATAGTGCAATACCAGTGGATATTAGCTTTTCTGTTCTTTCTACTTTTCTAGTGTTTTATCCTCAGAACTTTCTTTAGTGAATTCTTTTAAAATTAAAAAAAAAAACATTGTTCAGAGATATGAAAAGATGAGTGGCATTTGAGCAGCTTCCCATTACTGCTAGCAAGAGCACGAACAGAGACAAATAAACCACTACATCAGGGGAGATTTGGGATGTATATTTGCGGAAAGCTTCCTAATTTCTTGACCAACTAAGGTTTGTGGGTCATTGGAAGATATTACCAAGGGAGACTTCAGAAACTTCTCCTCTGGAGATGTTCCTTTCAAAGAATAAACAAAATAACTTTAGTACATTACTGCCCAAAGGCAAGGATATTAACTACTACATGATGTCTCAGGTTCTTTTTAGACCCTCTGTGATTATACTACTCACTTCATTTCACACTCTGAATATTTTTGATCCTAGAAGACAAAAGTTATAGTACATACAGTCCTCTAACTTTATCATAACTCTAAGTTCAAAGTAAGTAAAGTATAGAAGGAATTTCCAATGGGAGAACGTTTAAATTATAGCCTCAGAGCCCTTCATCAATTTGTTAAATAAAAATCCTAGAGTTAAGGAAAAACACCCCAAAAAATCAGGATTTTTGCAAGTGGGCCAGTTCAAGGCTGAACACTAAAATTCCCTGAATACAAATGTGCTTCTACCTATAGAAACAATTATGACTATCACTGAAAAATATATCCATGCAGAGGGAATTGTTAGCAGTGAGTTTTCAAATTTAGATAAGTTTTCCCTTAAAAAAATATATTCCTATACCTTTTTCCTATTATAAATCAAATTGTGAGGTATTACAAGAGTTAACCAAAAAGTACTTCTATAAAATAGAAACATTTAATAGTGTGACTAACCACTTCCTAAGTTATCCCCTTCACATACTTGTGTAGGATACCCTTTTCGTTTGTGAATTTTGCAGATTTCTAAAACCCACAGAATTTTAGAAGAAAGGCACCTAAAATATTAATTAGATTTTATGTTTTCCTTTAACTTATGTAGCTGGCTATGATGGACTCTCAATAAAGCACCGACTATGTTTGGAGACTATGTCACAGACCCCTGACATAGGTGAAAAAGTGATATGTAAGACTTGGACATTTTAGTATCAAATTCCTGAGGTGAGAACTAAAATGTTCCATGAAAGCAAGAATACCGTGTCTGTCATATTCACTACTGACATCCTAAAGCATGGAACAGTGCTTGGTACACAGTAGGCACTCAACACATTTGCATATGAATTTAACCTACCTATTAACCAATTCCACATTATAGAAGTGCTGAGTCTATTACACATTTTGTTTCAAGAGTATCATTCACTTAGCATGGCTAGACTAGTTGGACTAGCTGGCTAAGACTGCACTACCTGTTTCCTCTCACCTCTAATTTAGCTTCCTCTTTGCCTCTGGGGAAAACTGCACTTAACCAGACATTAATCATTACATGGATAATGAGATGATTCGCAAAACATTTTTCACAGAAAATAATTCTACAGCATTTGTAAATCATTGGCAGTCTTTGTGGATAAAAAAAACTTAACTCCAAATACCAGCATTTTCTATATGGGTAGAAAAAAATTACCATTCATTATCAGATCCAATGGTATTCATATCCTATTTAAATCAGATCATAGATCTTCATCAATGTAGTTTTAAAACCATATGTCTACTAATTCCTAGTATTAACTTGTTAAACAAAAATAAACATGAAGTTTTTGAAATGTACATTTTAAAACATCAGAAAACTCTACTTTAAGTCACTGAATTACTGCCAGCAAAAAACTTACCGCCTGTCACTTCACACATTGGTGTGATTGCAGAGTCATCTAAAGGCACACCTGTCAATTGTTCTGATTCTACTGACATGGTGCCAGGCAACCGCAACACTAATGCAAAGAGTCTCTGATCCCAGCGAAAAGGTTCCTTGGTCAATTCACTTCCAGGCAAAGGAGAATTAAGAGGTAAATGGAGCTGAAAGTAAGGGGAGGAAAAAAACAATAAGATTTCCACATGCTATTTTTCCCAAAAGGACACATTAATCATGAGTCTCCTATGACTTAAAAAATAAGCTCAAAAACAAAAGCTTATACAGATATAACTAAAATAGCACATGAGATATTGTTACTTCAGTTTTCTTAACCTTTACTCTGAAGACCTCAATTGATAAAAATCTATTACTGTAATGCTTTTCAGATTTCAATTCAAGTAACCACCAGGTGCTAAACTGCTTCCAAATAAATTTCATTTAATCATTAAAACAACCCTATGATAGATACCTTATTATTCCCATTTTCTAGATTTAAGAGAATGGGTCTCAGAGAATAAATGATTTAGCCTCCCGGGTCCAAGTCAGTCCTTCTGTTATACCACAGCAGCCTCAAGTACCTCCACAGTTAATAATTTCAAAAATGCTTCATTTTATACAAAACATACATTCCCAAAGTGTTTGCATAAAAGTAATTTTGTCATTCTAATTACACATTAAATATATCAAAGGTAATGATTCTTACCACGTATGAGTAAAGGTAGAGGGTTTGGGAGTTTTTTCAAGTGTTTCTTAATAGATGTCTCTCCCCATCCCCATCAAAGCTGCTAAATCAAAAACTGAGATTTTTAAGAATCTTAAAAAGCTTTAAAGTGATGTTTCTAAGGGGCACCTCTGTACCAACAGAGTAACAGAGTACTAACAGAGTCCACACATCAAGCTCAGCATAACTCAATGGGGACGACCAGACAGCATGCATCTTATGATGTGATGTAACAGAAGTACACAACATTGAAAGGAAAGAAAAAGAGAAAGAGAAGGAAAGACTGAATATTAATCTAATCAAGCCTTTAGTTCTAACTACCATTTTACAGGGACTACTGGGGATACAGGATCAAGTTAAACACCACCACAAGGGAGCAATCAGTCAAATTCAGAATGTGGGACATTCCACAGGACAGATGACCTAGTTTCTCCAATAAATCAATGGCATGAAAAAGCAAAGCGTGGGGAGGGTTGCTGGAACTGTTATAGAATAAGAGACAAAACAATCAAAAGCAAAGATTTTTGAGACAATGGGAAAAAATCTGACATATATCTTCCTGGAATTATTAATATTTTAAGTGTAATAATGACATGGTACTCAGAAACACAAAAATCGTATCACTTATGAAATTTTAAAAACTAAAAATAAAGCCCAGGATCAGCATACTCAGGGACTTATTTATATAAATATTGGAGTTTTCTTTAAAATATAGAACACACTTTAAAATTATCACTTCCAAATTAATTGCTAGAGTTTATACTACTTTAGTCATAAAGCAAGACATGATTGTATTGCTTACAGTCTTTCTATTTCTCACCTCAAAGATTTCCGAGCTTGATAAATCTAGGGATTGAAGTCATTCTATACTGACTTAAGACTCAAGCTTCTTCATTGACTTATACCAAACCATTAAAAAAAAAGATCAGACTCTATTCTAAGAGTTCGTACTGAAGCTCTTCTAAACTGGCACCTCTCTCCAAAAGATTCATGACAAGAGAATGTGCTGCAAGACTTTATCAAGATCAGCCAAGGTTTTATGGCCACGGCCAGGAGTCCTGAGCTCTTCCTCTGGCACTAATCCTACTTAAGGCAGAAGTCAGAGTTGCAATAAGGAAGGAATGCTGAAGAAATCTGGGCCAGGATGTTCTCTGAGGAAGGTTTTCTAACTGCAAAGGCTCTGTGACACTGCAAAACCGCTCAGGAACTCCAAGCCCTTGCTGCTATTACCACACCCTGTCAGAAAATAAGAAAATACTGTTTCCATCATCTCCTGTTACTCCAAACCAACCACTTTGTACTTGGGAAGCACAACTACCAAGTGCTTGGTCATTTTCTCTCCAAGATCATAGAACCATCAAAGCATCAGTGACACTGGCAGAAGAGGGTTTCAACTGTTAATGCAGTTGCTCTGGGAAGTAATGGATACGTGGAACTGTCTCAAGAATCTAGTAGATAACAGTACTGCACAGACCCCAATAATATATATATAATAATATATAAGTGGTGGACAGGACACCCCAAACTATGTACATATACACACATACACACACAACTAATCAGATAATAATCACATACACACACACACCACAAAACTAATGAGATAATAATCACATACACACACAAAACTAGTCAGATAATGATGAGCATCTACAAGGGAGACAATACATAATGAAATAATTGGCCTTCGGCTGTAAACTGCTAGATTTAGAATGTATTTCAAGTAAAACAAACAAAAAAACCAAGAAGGGTCACAGGCATATTTTACACATAGCTATATCAGTTTTATAAACTTGTCAAATTTTTATTCACTTTTCTATTTCTGATTATTTCCACTTTCCCATATCACTACCAACCACTCTCATCACCAAAGAGGAGGGGGAAAATCCCCTATAGCTGAAATGTACTAGTAAAATAGGAAGGAGCAAGGCAGGCAAAAGGCAAAAAGTCTGAAGGAAAAAGATTCTTAAGAGAATTGAATTACTCTGAAGTCTACAGCCGAAATTCTAGCAACATCTTAAAATCACAAAGTGAGGTCTTTCTGAATATATGGACTTTGAGAATCAAGGCAAAGTGCACAGAAATCAAGAAAAATATAAAATTAACCATTAAAATGTGCAATAAATATGAACAGATAATTCCCAAAAGTAAAAAACAGGTTAAAAAAAAAAAAGCCCAGGAAATCCATAAGGCCTACAAGTATGTGGAAAGATGCTCAAATATACTAATAATCAAACAAGACAAATTAAAATATCAGTGAAATACCATTTCACACCCATCACATTAGCAACATTTAAAAGTTTGACAATATCAAGTGATGACAACTATATAAAGCAATGGGAACCCTCCATCATTCCTACATACAACCATTGTGGAGAACAATTTGATAATATCTGTTAAGCCGAAGAAGAGTATACCCTAGGACCAGCAACACCACCTCTAGTTATACATCTTAGAGAAACTCTCACATAGTTTCACAAGAAATCACATAAAAAGAATACTGTCTACAACATTATTTAAAACAGAGGAAAATTGGAAACCACCTAGAAGTCCAATAAGGGAATCGATAAATAAACTGATCTGCTCATAAACCAGAGTTGAAATTAATAAACTAGATCTCTAAGATCCAACATGGATAGATCTCAAAGCAATATTTTTTGGATAGCATAACATACATACATTCGTGCATGCATACATTGATGAATTTTCACAAATTGAATGCCCTTGTGTAACTAACACTTATATCAAGAAACAGAATCTTTTAAATTTATGTCCCCTCCAGCCACTACCTCCTCTCTAATTGCTTAGTTTTGCCTGATTTTGAACTTGATATAAGTGGAATTATAGAGTATGGTCTCTCTGGTCTATGGTTTGTTTCATTCAATATTATGGGGGTGAGATTCATCCATACTGTTGCATATTTAAGTGTAGATCATTAATTCCCATTGCCATATAGCATGTGTGTGTGAGAGAGTGAGAGAATATACTATAATTTATTTATCCAATTTTTTCTTGACAGGCATTTGGGTTGTTTCTAGTTTGGGCATATAATGAATATGCACAACTATAAAATTATAGTACATGTCTTTACGGGAAACATATTTATGCATTTCTGTTGGGTTCACACCTACTAGCAGAATTGTTGGGTCATAAAGTATGAATATATTTACTTTTATCGGGTACTGCCAGTTTTCCCAAGTGGTTGGACCAATTTATACTCCAACCAGTAGTGCATGAGAATACCAGCTGCTCCATATCTCCTTCATCAACACTTAGTATTGGCTGTCTTTTTCATTTTAGCCATTTTGGTGTGTGTGTAGTGGTGTCTTGGTGGGGTTTTAATTTCCCTGACATCTACGGAAGCTGAATACCTTTCACACATTTCTTGGCCATTTTTGCTGTGCTCTTTTGTGAAGTGCCTGTTAGTCTTCTGCTTGCTTTTTAAAAAATTGAGTTCCTAGTCTTTTTCTTATTGATCTGAAGGATTATTAATATATTCCAGATGAGTCCTTTATTGGATGTAGGTATTACGAATATCTTCTCCCACTTTGTGATCTCTTTCACTGTTTTAGTGGTATATTTTAATAAATAGAATTTGTTATCTTAATATATTTTTTCCTTTCATGGTTAGTACTTTTTGTGTCCTCAAAGATCATGAAAATGTTCTACGCTTTCTTCTAAAAGATTTATTATTTTACCACTTACACTTAAACCTGATTTGGGACTCAGCTAACACTGAACTAAAGCTCAAATTTTAATTATTTACTTATTCACTGAACACCTACCATAAGCATGGCATTATTTCAGGATCTAGTAAGGAATATACCAAGCCAAATAAAGAAGATCTGAGATAATGTTTTAGCTAGCTCATGTTAAGAGAAACTATTGTAAAATCTCAGATGACCAGGATTCTCATAATTTGTAGAATGTAAAAATAAATAAAAGTCAGCAAACAGTGAAAGAAGATAAATTTATTTTTAAAACATCTTTAATACAGGAACCAAACAGATTTCTCCTGGCATACAATCTAACTGGCTCCTGGATGATGATCACACCAGAGCCTACTATGAGAGTCAAGGTTGAACGATTTGTACCAACACTTAGGAGGTTTCCCCTTGCACTTGGATATTCTACCAACTGGTTCTATTACTGAAGTAATTCAAATTATACATCCTTTAATAATTGTACTTCCCACCTTAAGTTGTTTGTTTTTTTTTAAAGATTGGTACCTGAGCTAACATCTGTTGCCAATCTTTTTTTTTTTTCTTCTCTTCTCCTCCTTAAAGCCCCCCAGCACGTAGTTGTAGGTCCTTCTAATTGTGTTATGTGGGATGCCGCCTCAGCATGGCCTGATAAGTGGTGCTAGGTCTGCACCCAGGATCTGAACCGGTGAAACCTGGGCTGTCGAAGCAGAGCGCACGAACTTAACCACTTGGCCGTAGG